CACTCACACAGTAGGATCAAAGTGAATTAGCTATGCAGGGAAGGGTTGCAACTCCTTTTGTCTGTTTTGTGTAAATCAAAGGATTTGACGATACGCGTACAGCATCTATACCTCACAGTAATCTACTGAGACACAATTTTCAACAACATTAAATAATATGAATAAAGGCACTATGCACTTTTACAACACATGCATGTACATTGAGGTCGATAAAATAGTAAAATGATTTGTATGTGTTCACACTAACTTGGTCACTTACACTTAAAGCTAATTCTGAAGTTACAGCAACGACAAATAATCTTGTAAGTTTCAAGAAACGGCACTTCCGCCTCATATAACTGATAGAAACCATGCAAAGGCAGTATCATTATTCAAAAGATTTTTGAAAAAGTGTCTTATGTGCAAAGACTTGCAATGAAAATGACAATAAGTTATACTAGAACAAGTCCTCTAAGAGTCTATGGCCACGATACAGTATGTGAGGCTGCACTTGGGAAGAGTTTTGCGTCGAGCTAAATGCTAACATCACCATGCTTAGTATGCAATCAGCCCATTCATTTGAATTAGGTCAGTCTGGTGCCAAAGCAAGGGAACAAAAGGGCATAAAACTTCAGGGTAGCCATGACAATCCATCCAATAGTTATTGAGATATTTCACTGAAAACCTCATGGTGATGGTAAATGGACTTACTTGTATAGCGCGTTTCTGGTCTTCCAACCACTCAAAGTGTGTAATCTGCTGCCGCAGGATCTATAGGCATTCACACCCTTTCACACAATGATGGCACAGCCTTCAGGAGCAATTTCAGATTAAGTGTCCTTCCCAAGGACACGTCGACATGGACTAGATCGATCCGCCGTTCTTCTGAATGAGGGACGAACCGCTCTACCTTCTGAGCCGCAGTCGCAGATGACAGCAGATGACAACTCAAGGGAACACCAAACTCATTAGGATACATCCTTTGGGAACCGATGTGTCAGTCTGGATCAAAGCGGTAGACCAAACCGACTGACAGACCAACAATCGTCACACCGAGAGCCACGGTGCTGGCATGGATGAAAAAAAGTGAAATGCTGAAACATCACTTTTAAGACTTGACATTGAATGATTTTTGTTGACATTTTCCGGTCATCATCTGGCTTTGTGCAGAGCTCTCTCACTGCTAATCCTACACATTTCATTTACCATCAAGCACTGCCGGAGATCAACTAAAACTGGTTCCAACTCTATCATCGGATGGTTTTGTCTGACATTTGTGCGACATTAGCGACATTAGCTGTGCTGAGTGCATCCAGAGAGACGGGGTCGGACCCCATTCTCTGTTGGGGACACTCCTCTCCCCTTTTGTGGCCGTGGGATGTTTGCGTATAAATAGAGATGGGCGTGAATGCGCGTGTACGGCTGTGTGTGTGTGCGTGTGTGTGCATGTGTTATAACTGATGGGCACTGTTCATGCGATCCATGCTGCTGTCTAATTATTCACATGTGATGGATGGCTTTGATTAAATCATATGAAGGCTGATGCAGTCACTGCCTCCCTCTACTCTACCTCTCATTCCCCCTAACCTCTCTCTTCATTTGTCACACACGCACACACACACACCCACACCCACACACATGCACACACCCACACACACACGTTGGAACCCCTGCTTTCAACATTGATAAAGGATATTCATAAATCAGCTGGAGTGGGGAGGGGGGAGACAGTGAGTGACACCAATAGAGAAGAAATAAGGAAAGATGGGCGGATAGAGATGCAGAGAAACAGACAATCGGATACTAATAATACTTGCTTAATGTTAATGCTCACACAGAACGACTGATTACATCTTCTCATCAAAAATCAAATGAGCACGGAAGTTTTGGGACAATTCTATTCATAATTTTTATCATTTAAAAGGTTCATCTTAAAATAACATTTCCCGACTGCGAATTACCCCGGCGGCTGAGTTCAAGTTGTTGCCTTTTCTCTGAACTTAAAAACAACCCAATCGTTTTTTTTAACAGATCTGCAGGAGCCCCGAGGCACAAAATAGTGAACACAGTTAACATGCTTTTTTTTGTCATTTCCCTTCTATTGTGTCCATTTTCCTGTCCGTTATACAAAGCGGGAGCTCCAGGTTTTGAAAGTGACAGATGGCTCTCTGTTTGTGCAGCACAGAGAAGAAGAAGCAGGGGGGTAAATCACTTTTTGGATCTGGGAAATTACACAATCCCATAGGAATAATAACAAAAGTAAAGTTTATTTTCTACTGGTGAGTGCAATATAAAACTAAGAAATTCAGTCAGATAATATCATTCCTATATTAGGCCTAAGTTGTTAAGAAAGGGGCTGTTATGCCTGACTGCTACTGAGAGAGCGATTCTCCGGCTAATTCTTTTATCTGCTGCTGATAAGCTGCAGTGCAGATAATCAAGAAACACAATTGATAACCTGCTCTCCTACAGGCTCACTTCAGTCTGCCTCTTCACAGCTACACACACCCAACTACACACATCCTGATGTGTTTCTAATGAGATGCTGTCCTTCGGTGGCACAAAAAGCTGCTGTTTGAAGATTTACTCTCTCAGAAACCATATGCTGACAGCCAGGAGACTGGGCACAGAGCCACAAAGCCATATGCGCATGTGGGCAAGTATAAGTACACATACACACATGCACGCCCACACACAGGCACCCATTCAGAAGTGGAACTTGAGTGAAGGGTAAAAAATGGAGGGAGGCTACTCATCTCTGCAAAATACACCTCACGTGACATGAATTTAAAGCCTTTTGAGGAGTTCACTGTACTGTAAAATGATGTTAAATTAAGCATGCTGGAACAAGCTGCAAGGATCTCAGTTAAAGGGGATGACATTTATCAACAGCAAAGTTTTTTTATACTAGAGGCTATACAACACTATGCACTACATACAACATCTGCAGGTTATTACAAATGTAAATGGTATTGATCACACGCACACAGGTGTTCTCACTTAACTGATTGTACCTTAAACAGTTCGGCTCATCATAGCAGGTAAACATGTGTCACTGATAACATTAATCCAAGAAGGTTGTGACAGTGAGCCAGCATGCACAATACCACGAACAAGAAAGTGAGGCAGCTAAATGGAATTCAGCCATCGTGCGTTGATTATTTTCGAAATGTCTTCATTGAAAAATACCTCTTAATATGTTACCTATATTACCTAAAAATACTAAAGGTGCTTTTTGGCAACTCAAAGTCACAGTACAGTTAGGGAAATGTCAATCATGCACAGTTAGTACACGCCCACACTGTCTTGAGGTCTAATCAGTACGATGATTGAGAACACCTGTGTGGGTGCCAGAGCCATACACTGATCAAGACTTTGACTATCTTTGTAACCAGTGGTGGAAAGAAATGAGTGCATTTACTCCTGCTATTTAAGTACAATTTTGAGCAACTTGTACTGTATTTGAGTGTTTCTACTGCTTTATACTTCTAGTCCACAGCATTTGATTGACAGCTGTAGTGTTTGTTACTTTTCAGAACAGTCATCCAGTATTTTACAAAAAGCAAAGATAAAAGAACAGTACAAGAATCATCATCTCCCCACCCTTTAGAATAGTGCAAGTAACCATTGCAACAGTATATGCTTCACTGATGAAAACCAAGGAATGATGAGTTCAACTGAACGTAGTCTAAGTGGCTATGTTATAAGTAGGGTGATTCACAATGAAAAATGATGGACAGGGCAGACGAGACGTCTTCATTCATCACCTCCACCGAGTCAATTTTTTTCTCATTATTATTTTCCATTATTAGGATCTCTCCTCTTCATGTGTGATCGCCATATATACGCACACACACACACACACACACACACAACTGTCAGAAGTGAATTGCCCTGCACTCCCCCTGACAGCAAAATGACAGACATGGCACATCACCGTAGCAACAGTGCAAAGGGTTCTTACCACTACATTTTGATAATTCTGTGATTTAACTTGTGTAGAACAACCCATTCTGCATAACCATCACATCAGAGAAAATGCACACGCAGGACACTTTATCTCTACCTCTATAGCTATAAATAAGTGGAAGCTTCAGAACTCCATATTGTTTGGTAAATCCAACTCTGGGCAAAGAAAGAGTGATGCATGACTGCATCAGCTGAGGTGGTGATGGATAAATAGTTAAATGGGGAGGATTAAATAAACAAAATGACAAATGGATGGGAGGTAGATGGATGGGAGACAGTTAAGTGGTTTTACCCAATTAGAGAGGAAGAGTATATAGATCCAGAGTGCTTCCAGACACCAGATGGACTGAAGAGCGCTGGCGTCAGAGCGGTAAGAAAAGACTCAGGGGAAAGGAGGGAGGGAAGAGGGAGAAGAGTGAGGAAAGGAGGAGACCGAGGCTAAGAATAGTAGTACAACCTCGGGCCAGCGCAATCGGTCGGCCCTGCCTGCTATTTTTTACTTTGCTACTGTGCCAGCCACTACTCGTCAGACATCTTTCTCTCCTCTTATTCTGTATCACTCTCTCCATCAGTCATTTTCCAAAACGTAAGGCCAACTTTGTCGCATCAATGTCAATGTTCCTACAACACAGTGCCTCGGTGACCTCTGAAAAGTCACGTTCCCAAACCACGCATGGTAGGTACAACTCAAACAGTTGTATGCTGTGTTTGGCCATGAATGTGGCCTGCTGCTTCAAAAGAAAAAACATCTACAAAGAGTAACTCAATCAATACTGCTTCCCACGTCACATCAAACATAAGGCACTGGAGGCTGAGAAGAGAGAACAGAGAGTGGCAAACTCCTGATCCACACTCCAGTGACGTGGGTTAATCCTTGAGAGGTTCCACTGGGAACCCTTATGCACTCCTTCAGGAGATGGATTTCAAGGACACACAAGCCAGAAGTGGTATTTATATGTGAGGCTACAGGTGACAAGTAGCTGCGAGGATTACACGTGTGTGTGTGTGTGTGTTTGTGTGTGTTTGTATGCACATGCATAAACTCTACTTACCACAGTCTCATCAGGAAATGGTGCTCCATGTCGTCAGGAAGAAACTGTCGGCTGAATAACTTGCTCTCAGTCACTCTGCAGAAAGACAAAGAAAACAAGAAAAACATCAGGGAAGCGCAAACCGTCAGAGGCTCACATGAGCTGATGTGTGCAAACATTATCGTCCCTGGAAGGAAGCGTAAAGCTCTGTCTCTCTTTCACTTCTCTACAGTACGTCTGCCCGTCACGGGAAAAGCACCCACCCCCCATAAGCTCCGACCTGTAAAATAGTCCCCGGCGGTGCCTGAAAATGCAATGTGGTGGAAAATGTGCAGCTGGGCCCGTTGGTCCCAAAACAAGAAGCCTCACTGCCTAAGGCAGCAGCTCCCCTGCTTGGAGCACTATAGGCCCTGGATCCACAAATGAAGGGACGACGGGAGCATATGAGGAGAGCAAGTGGAGAGAGCAACATTAGCGACGGAAATAAAGGGTTGGGAGTTAGGGACGGAAAGGAAAAGAGGCAGAAAAAAGGGAAAGAGGAGTGGATGACTACAAGGCTTACAGCTTAATTGAGTGTGTGCTGCGTCCAATTACCATTTAAAGTAAGCAGAATGTGTGGAATCACTTGGACTTCAGAAAGCAAAACAAAAACACACGCTGGCACCTGAACAAAAATAACACTGTAAGTGTGTCAGTACATACAATAAGTAACTAATTTCACTTCAAAATACAACACATTGTTGGTAAAATATATATATGCCTAGTGATGCGAGGGTGTGTGCGCCTCATAACTATTAAATAGTGTGCACTAGGGTCCATCATAACAGCATGCACTTAACCTTCCCCACTGAACATGTGTTCATACCAAGAACAAAGTGTTGCCCGTTCCTCCTTGATGTGTCTGAGTGATCGGAATGCTAAATGCCACTGAGCTAAATGTGGTCACAATTGAGAATGCCATGGTGTTCCCCACACTTCATTACCCCCCTCCCCTCCATTAGCATTAGTACCGTGATTACTAGCTGTTAGCATTAGCTCCCTGGGCTGTTTTCTTTCTGTAATTTTGTGCAACATTACAGCTGACGCACACCCTCAGCGTGTGTTAGTTTGTGGCTCCATGGCAACAGCGGCTCGTACTACATTTACACAGTTTGTATTCATGGGAGGAATCGTCAACAAGATGACTGGATGCATTCCTACAATTCCCAAATGCCACTACAAAAGCCTGAATTTTTGCAGCGTATCACCTAGTAATTACATTTTGCGAAGAAAAAAGAGTTGGGTCATTTGCAGTCGCACTCAGAGACCAAAGTGCATAGTCAATGATCACAGAAGGCCTTTAATATGCATGTGTGACATGAGGCACTGTATCCTCGCCAATCCTACATGGAGGATCTGCCGCTGCAGTTCGTCAAGCGGAGCGCGGCAGATGCTCTCATGAGTTCCCATTGATTTGCAGACAAGCGTGTACGTGTGTGTGTGTATGTGCGTGTGTGTGTGCGCGCGGGTGTGATGTGTCGCTAGCTAGCTAGCTGCAGAGATAATTAGAACACAACTCTTTTGCTGTCCCTGCAGGCCACTGATCCAGCTGCTTTCAACTAATATAGGTCAGCTGTGACAAAGCCCTCAGCATGGACACTGATCAGCTCTGCTAGCTCTCTCAAACACAAATATGCAGTTCAACTCACGCACACTCATACATGGAGAGGCATGCTTTTTCACACACATATTGATGGTGGCCTACATATGTGGTAAACATACTGTGCAGGAATACACACTGAGACATATTATATGCAGGTAAATCCCCACACACTTGGGCCTACAATAATGATGGCAGTCACAACAGGTCTGTGAGTTCAGAAAAACTGGCTCCTGCTCACAGCTTCATCTGCCCACCAGTTTCTAGCTACTGCCCACGCACTGCCAAATCCACTAATATAGCATAAAGAGCAAATTAGTAACTTCAAGCTCTTCATAGCAATGGAAAATATTGCCAGACATAGTCAATGCAAATTCATTCACTTGTTCCAAAATCAATACAAGACTGGAAATTGTCTTTTGTTTCTGTGACAGTAAGTATGTGTGTATAACACTCTGTGACAAAAGAGTTGCATTAGATTATAGTCATTTGACTGGACGTAATGAATACAAGTAACACAAAGACAAAATTAAAAGTGAACGCATCAAGAGATTCAGTGAATGAATACATTTGAATTCTGTTAATATTTTAGTTTGATTGTTCTCTGATGTGTGAAGTCGCCTGGTGAATTTGTAGACACAAAGCTTGTCATTCAGCCAAACAGAATGAGTTATTTAGACTCAGGTCTATTCTGAAAATAAAGACAAGTGAAGATTCTTATAATTTACCAGACTTTTTGTTTACACAGTAAATGCCAAGAAATCATGTTATTTTGCGAAGCTCTTCTGTTTATCCTTCTGATCAACATAGCAAATCTATTTAAACACTCTGTTCTTTAGCAACAACTGTGAGACTTAAAGTTCCTTTACATAACCCAAAATATACAGAGATGCTTACAGCTTAGTTAGCAGCTAAGCCTCAATATTCTCATAGACTCGTTCTAAAATGCATACGCTATACCCACACATGCTGTGTTAACATTTTTTGCAGACTCACTCTCTGTACTTCTACACCAACTATTAGTATCATATATAGTCCAACCACTACCTGCTCACACAGGATCGCCAGTGGTCACCTCACCGAGCGTGACAGGGGCCCAAGACTGCAGAGATTTATAGGGATGTAAACTGAAGAGCAGCTTGGCTGAAGAGGAGCGATGGGAGAGAGGATGAAAGCAATTATTTTCTCTCTATATGCATTTTACTCTGTTGCCCCTCTTTTAAAAAAAGCCACATTCATTAAGTGCCACCACTGACACACAGAGTGCGACTACACGTCACTGCTCCCCTCCTCAGGTGTTTTGTTCCACCTATTGTATTGATGACCAACTCAAGAGAAGAGCATCATTATCTTTGGTCTGCTTTACTACAGGGGCCTCACTAATGGGGCAATAATTGGTGCAAATTACAAAGTGTACAAGTGGTGTCGTAGCCCTTGGGATGGCTTGATTGAGGGGCCGAGGCTATGTCGCATTGCGGGAGATCGGTGTATTCTCTTAACTCTAATCACCACTTCTTTCTTATTCAGCCCCTCTATATTTTTCTTCCCTACGCATGTCTAAAGAGCAAGTGGGATCATGCAGGGCTTTTAACAACTGCGACTATTTATGCAAATACAATCAATACTTGATAGTCCATTTCGCTATCTGCCCCCGCCCACCTCAGTTCCTCTCTCCATCTCCCTCTCTAACAAGAGACTGCAGTAGGGGCATTAATTAGTGCCACACATGCGCCAAGGATTCCCCACAGGGCTGAGCAGTAAAGCCAGTTCATACCAGGCCAGGAGAGGACAGGTTTGGCCTGACCACTGCAGTCAGGAAACAATGAGAGACAGCAGTTGCCGAACAGCAATCTAAAGCAGCCCTGAGTAACTGCAATGGCTCTATTGAACTGGCTTCTATAGTTGATGGAAATAAAAGACACACCAGTATTTGTAATAAACGTTTCATTATTTTCTAAGTTGAGTTGAGCGTTGTGCCCTTCAAGCCTCGGTTCTACTTTCCGAAAGGATATGAGCTGGCGTGTTAATGTTTGGATCCATGCGGGTCCAAACCTCGCGGCAAACCGACATTGTCAAAGACCCTTAAGTTCAAAGACCCTTAAGTTCTGCATTATCACAACAAAAAACCTACTGCATAGAACACAGAGAAGGGTCATGTTAATGGTGTGACGTCAGTTTGCATAAATCACGCTTTAGTTAGGCTGCTGTTGCTACGTCCACTAAGCTTTCGGTTCACACAGGGCACAATTTAGTGATAACAGTGGCAGATGTACGATTAAACTACAGGTCCTTCATGGGTGGGTCTCTACATTCATGATAGTCAGCATCCTTACCAGTTGATGATGCTGGTAGAAAACACGTCTTGTATTGCAGTGAGCTATTTAGTCAGAGTATTCTCACTACTATCAGATGCATTATTGGCTTACATACTTGTTCATATATATATATATTCAAATTGTATACACTTTTAACGTTGTATGGGAAATGACTAAATGTTTCTCTTGCATTCTGGGACAATGTAAATTACAAAACTACACTAATCTGAAACTTAAACAGGAAGAGTGTTGACCTAACGGATGAAAAGGCTTGCGTACAACCATCAACCACACAAATTCCCCAAAACATTCGAGAGCTAAAATGAGAGCATAATTTGAAAAAGTATTCCTCCAGCGCACCGAAGCAAAGCAATACTTACGACATAAGTGTACATATAGAAAGGCAGCAAGCAAAGGTCGCAGCTGTTGGCCTATTGGTCAACTGACTGTGATGCACATATACCTGAACAAACTACTTCTTCATTGAAGTAACCTTTATGAAGAGCATTGTATTACTGTATTCTCAACTTTGGGGCAACTACTAAATCCAAAGACCCCGAAAGCTTAGTTCCGTTTGCAAACCGCTGCCTTACATTTAGGACATAGCACATAGATTCTTATTAAAACTTCTTTGGGATTTCCACAGGATTAGGTACAGACAACCCAAGCAACTTTCTTAACACCAGCCGTTTCCAATTAGATCCTATTAACAGAACACTGACTTCAGCTCTGCACACACCCTATAGGGGATTTCCATCAGCTTAACAGGAGGGGGAAAGTTCAATAACAGTGGCTTGTTTTCCTTCCATATGTACTGATTATCTTCATACCATGACGTTGTGTGATGACCCCAGGATGAAGACTTACAGTTAAGTAGATGGCCTATCGTACATACATACCACAAAGATCATGCTAAGAACATCTCAAAATGTAAATGCCTGATGCACCCTGCCTGCTGAAAGAAGCTCTAAAGCTCTGTCATGTGCAGCTTAATAGAGATCGTATGGGTCAGGCTTTCTCAGAGAGAGAAGGAAAATAACTAGCTAAGGAGAGAAGAGAGCAAGGACAGAAGGAATCGTTGCTTTTCCCCGGTGATCTATGAGAGCTAATCCAGATGTAGAGATGCACCGATCTGACTTTTT